CCCCAAAACCCCAAAACCCCAAAACCCCAAAACCCCTGATAAATATCAATAAAATTTGAGATGAGTGTTTATAGTCAGAAATTTAAGAAATTAATTAGTACACAATTAGTAAGTATATATTTTATAATTTTGAGCATAATTTCTCTATGATTATAGTGAAGTCTTTATATATATATATTAATTTCTTAGCTGTAATATTTAGGTTTAGGTTATTGTCATTTACAGCATCTATTATTATTGTCGTCAAAGGTTTGTTTTTGGCTTGAATTAAAAGTATACTTAATACCTTTGTCTGGGTTTAGTTGAGAACTAATGCGAAATGAAGCAATAACAAAACTTTCAGACTTATCTCTTATAGACTCAACCCATATTTCCTCTCTATTGTTCTTATAAATTAATTCCATTATTTTATAAAAAGCTTCTTTCACATTGAAATTTTATAGAGTAGATGTCTCTATAAATGGAAGATCTAAATTTTATGCATTCAATGATTATTCAGACTCTGAAACACCTCTAAAAGAACTATCGCATTTATTCCCAACAAGAATAATTGGTATTTCAGCTTTTGCATGTACTTTAATTAACATGATCCAATTCTTAATGTTTTTAAATGAATCAGGATTAGTTATATCATAGACCAGCATAATTCCATCAGCTGCTTTGTAAAAAGCTTAAGTTATTGTCCTAAATCTCTCTTGACCAGCAGTATCCCATATCTTTACAGGTATTTTTTCATCATTTGTACTAAAATAGGTACTTATGAAATCTACACCTATAGTTGAATTCATTTTGAAGCTATGTGTGCCCAAATGAAATCTATTTATTAAAGATGTTTTGCCAACGCATTAGTCTCCGAGCAAAACAATGTTCATTTTTTTAGAATTATTTGTCATCATACGAAATTTGTAGCTAACCCTAGTTCAAAAATATATTTCTACTATAAATAATGTATTCCATCAATTTATGTAGATCATAGCGAATGGGGTTTTGGGGTTTTGGGGTTTTGGGGAAA